TAACTCTAAACGATATCGATCATGTAATTGCTAAAATTTTGAAAGCTAAATAGCTCAGATTAAAATTTTTTTGACGACGGCCCGTCGTCACTGAAATAAATTACTGCGCCACATTACTGCGCCAGTGACATCGATGTCACGTCCAAATTCATACATTAATAAAGTTATTAAATGACCCGATTTTTTGTAGACCCGAAGGGCGTATACTGAAAACGACAATCTCTTGATAAGTGAAGAGATAAAAAAATCTATATGCTCCGATTTTACGAAACATCTAAATGTACTAATCCGAATTATCGAGAAATATGATGTTTTCTTCCATAAGTTAGTATATCATATGCGATATAAAGAGCATATAACAATCCCAGATAAAATTGGCCAACCTGAGACTATGAGAAAAAACGAGATGATTACTGAACCACCTACCTTATTTCATATATAGAAAACAGATCAACTAGCACTTGATAATTTTCTAAATACATGGAATGGAGCAGTTAGCTCAATATAAATATATCTTTATATCACCATCGCATCGCTTATACATTATTAATAATATATTTTTTTCGTACATAAATAGGCACGAAGTACACTGCTCCGCAGATATCCAAGTTCAAATAGATAGTCTCGGTTACCCGATCCACATACCCCACAATCGGTCACTTTTCCTTTCTAATTCCCATGTGCGTCTCAATACCACGAACCACATAACTGCGATAATCAATAAAGTAAGAAAAATATATGCCGATAGAGGTGACATCAAACTACTTGCTATGACAGGAATCGTCCCCATCCCTCCTATCGGAATTTGAGAATGCGATTCAATCAAAGAGGGGGTATAATTGTCCGGTTGTGCAAAGTATGGAGACGCATTCGGCATTTCTTGGAGTATATTGTTGTTATTACCGTGTAATGGGTCCTTGACCCTAGTTTTGCTAATATCGATTTCGTCACTTACCTTGGGAATAATCTCAGTATCTACTTTTGGAGATGAGGCATAGCCTTGAATTACTGATTCCTCAGGTATAGAAGCACTTTTATCATCAGTGCGATCCAGTATATCTGTATCGATTTTTCCAACTTGATCCGTACCTTTTCCACGTATAAAATATTGACTGAGATCTTTACTAGGTATATCAGATGTGATAGCATCATCACTCCGTGAGATAGAATTCGGTATTTTTTTTTCATCTACCTCACCGCCGATTTTGATTGGTTCTAACGATAACTTGGATTCTAAGGAGTGTATCTCTGAAGTTTTCAAGGCCAGATCATCTTTCATTTGTTTCAATTCGTCATCTTTCGAAGATAATTTCGTCTCCAATGCCTCCATCTTAGATAAGAAATCTTTCATTTCTTTGGATTTTGTACGATTCTTGTCCTTGAATTTACTAAGTGAAAGATCTTTACCAGTGATAAGGGATTTGAGAGTATCTATCTTTGAGCGTAATTGCTTAACCTCATCTATAAGTTGATATACATACTTGGAGAGTTTCTCATTATTGCAACGTAATTGATCATTTTCCTTATTGGTATTTATGCTATGATTTGAATATACCACTTGCATATTTTTATATTCTCTAGTAATTTCGGAATTGGACTTGATACTATCACGTAATGCCTCCTCGAGTTCTTGTTCGCGGGTACTACCAAGCCTATACCCCTGCCCTTGTATTTTTTTGGACTCCATGCTCTTGGTATCTTGCAATGTACGCACCTTGGCCATGTTATTTTTCTCATATATTAAAAAAAAAAAAATCAAGGCTAAGTAATAGATATATTATATATACTTTTGGTTTACCAATATTACCAATATTACCAATACTACCGATATTATTGATAATAATTTTTATATATTACCGATATTATTGATAATGATTTTTATATATTACTGATATTACCGATATTATTGATAATGATTTTTTTATATTATCGATATTACCGATATTACTGATATTACCGATATTATTGATAATGATTTTTTATATTATCGAAATAATTTTTTTATTACTGACACTATAAATACGACAACAAAACCATGCGATCTGATGCAGTCAAACTATCACCAACAGACTATGATTATATTATGCGATATAAAGATGTAAAATCCAAACCTCTAGATATGCTTAGAGACAAATATCCTATGTCAAATACCCGTTTTTATCGGATATGGAAAGGAAAAGAGGTTTGTACAAACACTTGGAATTCATCTTTAGCCAATTCAGGGAATGATATTCCAATATCCGTAGTTGTGGGAGAGAAAAAAAAGAGGAAATCAAAATCCAAGTCTACTCGCATTTCTGATCAGCCTTTTATTAATAAAGATCTAGATGCGGTAACATCCTCACTCTGTAAGACAGAAAAGATAGGCAGAATTTCGGAAGCAAAAAAAGAAACTACACCACCTGTTACCTCGCAAGAGACTGAAGATGTTTTGGAATTACATAAGAGAAACCAAAAAGATATAGAAAAGATTAGAGCAAGTGGTCGTACTCTTGTCTCTAAATTATCTGTTCCTTAGATTCGTAAGTGTAAAATCAATGTTTTGTTTTATAGCGGAGCTAGTGTCTCTGACACATATCGATCACACAAATCATTATAATACCCAATTACTTCAGAAACTGATTGAATACTGGCGAATAATGCCTTTTCAAGTTCTTTTTCACGGTTTGACTTATTCTCACAATTTACGTATTTTTTTTAATGACGGATCATCAAAATCTGGGCTAAAGTCCGCAGGAGCATGCCATTCCTCCAATGTTATATTGTCATCCTTATTGCGAAGCAATGGAGCTCCGCCCTTATCACTATCAACCTCTTTATCTTGAGAAATTTGATCATGTACCAAAGACTTGCTATTTTGAGCTACAGTTGCGCAATTTACTTTGAGTTTATTCTTGACTTTGTGCATAGTAACCGGAATAATAAAATCTTCTCCATTATAATGAATCTTCATTTTATCGTTACCCCAATCCACAGCACATTTATATTTTTTAAGAAGCAGGTTTGGGAATATTATTGTTAGTTTGGGAACTCATACAACTACAAAATCTTTACGTATAGTAAAACCTGGAGGAAATATAATTGGTAAATTACGAGTGATGCCAATAGATTCCGTTGGAACAGTAGCAACACCACTAAGATCATATTTTTCCGACCTATCTATTTTCCCGCCTACACGTTTAACAATATCTTCTGATACAATTGCAGGTTCGGTGCCACTATCTAGTATCAATGCAAGAATTTTGAGGTGTTTTATCTTAACTGGTATAGTTGTAATACTAATTACCGGTTCTTTCCAACGGACAAAATCAATCTCCATAGGATCATTCAGCGTTTCCTCTTCATCATCTGATTCGGGTATTTCTGGGGCTGGCTCTCGATAATTTATAAAGTCAGGTTGTGTAGGCCCTTCAAGAGCGACTCTTCGAGTCATAAAAACATTTGTATTATTAATATTGTTTTTAATCGTTTCTATAACTTCTGGATTATTAAACATAGCTAAGATAATTTTTCGAATTTGTGAATCGATAATCATATCTGATCTCTTTTGTGAAACACGTTTCTTTGAACTAGATTTCTTTTTAGAGGATGATTTACCCTTTCGCTTTACTTTTTTTTTTGATTTAACGACATTGATAATTTTCATGATTTCAGTCTCAGTTAAGTCATTCTCGGAATCAGATTCCGATTCAGAAGTGGAACTGGACCCAGAGCCAGAATCGAACTCATTATTCGAAGAATTAGTATCAGAGTCAGAACCTGAATCTATAGTAGCAATATTGATACTGCCTTTTTTCTTGGACTTGTGCTTGCTAGAACAATCAGATTTGCGCTTGCTAGAATGGCCAGACTTGCTCTTCTTTTTATTTTTAGAGCAATTACGAGAATTATGACCTGTTTTGCTACATTCTGAGCATCTGTATTGGGATGACTTTAAAACTGCATATATTATTCAAGCTAATTTTGCTTGATTGATATCTAACTCCTCGAATTGTAATCTCAGATCTTCAACTGGATCGTAATTGTAATAATCTCTTGGTAAACCTGTATTATCAGAAATACTATCTAAAAAATGATCCATAGCAAGATCATTGGCTTTTCGTTTTCCTGGTTCGGGAGGTTTCTTCAAAGTTTGTTGTCCTTTAACAATAGTTCTCTTCAAACCCATTATAATTTTTTTGAAATCATTTTGTGAAAGCATGATCGGTTCTCCTGAGGCTTAGAAGAGATAGTTTGCGAGACAGGTTGAGATGGCACAAAGTACCGAGTCTTCGACTCTTGTTCAGATAACATCATAGATTTTACCAAGTCTCTGACTTTAGTTTCAATTATACCCGTATTGCTTGTTATGTAAGAATCTTTTGCGTTATCTTTAGATTGTAATCGAGAAATAACAGAATGAGATTCCGGATTATACTAACCTAATATCATTTCCGCTTTCTGTCTTTCAATTTCTTTTAATTTTGGTAGTAAAGCAGAAATTGAATATTCGAGACCAATACATCTTACTTCTATTTTGTTATCAGGAGAAAGACCCTAAAAGAATTGCTGTCTAACCATTTCTTCTCGATTCAATGCTGGAAGTGCAGGATAGGCAAGACCAACTATTCTTTTCAATTTTGTATAAAAATGACCTATAGGATCAGTACCTTAAGTAATGCTATGGAATACCACTTTTGATTTTTCAGCAATTATTGTGGGATAATTGGTTCTAAACCAATATAGTATCTGTCCGATACGAATTCCTGGAGCTATAGTATTACCTCTTACATTAGCATTGAGGGCATTTGGAGCTAGATCTGTTGGTCGTCCACCAGATATCAACCAGTCTTTATCGAAAACAGTATGTGCCAGCACTAATGGTATGGCGATTGCATTATTATTGACTGGGACAGTATTTCTTATATGAAGAGCTCCGCTTCTAAACTGATTGACATTAATAGCACGCAATGCATTATTGTTAGCCAATCTATTGATGGCACCAAGATCTGCAAGACCTGTATTGTCATTAATATTTTGCAATTCCCAATTTTTATTTTTGAGATGAGTTTCATACCAATCTTTTGTATCATCTCTTAAACATGTCTCAAAAAGTCCATAAATCCTTACTCTGGTTCGAGCGTCTGCAAGTGGATCAAGTCCAGATACTTCCAGTATTGTCTAAAATCTCTAATTCATTCTTCAGGATCTTCTCCAGCTTTTTCATAAAATAGGGGTGGTGCATATCCTGCCATACCTGTTCGATTGTTATTATGATTCTGCAGTATATTATTCTGTAGTAATAAAATTTGGGCTTGTAAATTTAAAATTAATTGCCGTAAATTGCGCTCTCTATTTTTCCACTTGATATGACTTGCCTTTCAATCCTTGAATTTATTGTAATATTTATCAAAAAGCCGATCACGATTATATTCTAATAATCCTTTATCAGCTCAGCATTGTTGTAACTCCTGTTCTAAATGATGAATAAATACCTTATAAATAATTTTAAGAACATATTTGAGTTTTGATTGTTCTTCTAATGCCAAGGTAATATTATACCACAAACGTCCTCGCATATCATATCTTTGTTATAAATCCCTACTATTGGTATGGCATCGCTGTAATAATAATTGAATAACAAACTTTTCTCGAATTAATTCACCAACATGTCTATTTTTATCACGATATGAGAACCACCAGCAACGACGTTCTCCCTGTTCATTATTATAAGCTGTAGTTATCAAAGTAAAATCATTCTGATAATTGTCATGCTTATGAGTAAGTCGGTTAACTTGATTTTGTAAATTATGTCACTCTTGGATAATTTGATTAACTTGGTTCTGTAAGTTATCTCGTTTTTGGGTAATCTGATTGACTTGGTCCTGAAAATTATTTTGGGTAAGCTAATTAACTTGATTTTGCAAAACGATATTCCGTTGTCTATAGAAATTGACATCCTGCTGTAGTTGGACTATATGATTATTGCTATCATCTCATTAAGCTATAACACCATCTATATCCTGATATGCATTTTGGTAATTAAGGCGGACAGTATTCAAAGAGCCTCTAATGCCATTTATAATATTAATAGGATTATTTAATGGCATTCCAGCACCTTTAAGATAATTTTCAATACGATTCAAGCCTCGGTCGATTTGTATAAAAAGATCAAGATTCGCCATATCTATATCTTTTTCTTCTGAATTATATAAACTTGGAGAGCTTCTTCGAGAAGAAATATCTTTGAATCTATGCCATAAATTTTGAACCCGCTCTTCCGATTCTTGTAATTGCTTCTCTATACTATCGATATAGGATACCTTATCTTGAATATCCTTTTTAGCTTGATATAAGTTTCTTTTAAGGAATGATATCTCCGATCTCAACTCTGCTTTTTCTTCCTCCGAAGCATTCTCAAGCCGTTCCAGTTCTTTATTGAGAGATTGAATTTCATTTTCACACCGGGTATATTTACGTTCCAGATCCTTTATATATTTCTCATTCGACTTGTTGATGGCTACCTCCGATTGTAATATCTCCTGGAGTTCTTGGTTAATTTGCTCTAGCTCGAGTTCTTTATCCGTAGCTGATCTATGAGTTGTTTGATTAGGGGGTCGTGGTCTACGAAATGCCATGTTATTACGAAGTAATGAGACTTTGTCTTTATTTTATATGGCATATTATATTGACTTATCTCTGACTTTGCTAAACGTAAATTTTACCATAATAAGTAACATCGAAAATGAGTAGGTCCTTAGACCATGCTTCACATAAATTGAGCAAGCCTATTATTAGAATCGATCCAGATGAGGAATGTTCTGGGTATGCTTTTTTACCGATCTACTGGTTATCATTCCAATGTAAAAGCTTTAAGAGACGCATGTAAAAAAGAAGGATATAAATTCCCATATAAAAAAGTTCGTGAATGGTTACATAACCAGAATGAATGGCAAAAGTACGCCCCGTCACCGAAAAATATTTCACGAGTTAGTTATGGTAAAATTTCACGTCCAAATTGTATACATCAATGTGACCTCTTATTTCTTACGCATGATAAATATAAGGGGAAGACATGGAAAGCGGTATTACAAATTATAGATGTGGCTAGCAGGTTCAAGGCAAGTGTTCCCCTAACATCGAAGAATAGTTCTGAAGTTGTTAAAGCATTTAAGAAAATTTATGATAATCCCAATAACCCTCTTACGTATCCGACATTTCTACAATGTGATGGTGGGACGGAATTCAAAAAATCGGTAAATCAGCTAATGGAAGCGCATAATGTTACAATTCAAGTAATTGGTGCTTATAGTCATCATGGATTAGCTCTTGTAGAACGATTTAATAAGACGTTAGCAGAGATGCTTTATAAAATCCAATATGCCGTTGAATCAATATCTAAAAATCCTAAATTAATGAGAGAGTGGGTCAAGTATTTGCCAGAAGTAATAGATTATCTTAATAATTATCCGACACGTCTCATTCGAGCTCCAGGTTCATCAAAATGGGGTTTAGCTCCAGCAAAAGCTATTAAACTGGAACGAGTAGAATCTAGGCCATCTACAAAGTATAAGCGTCCTATTGGAAAGGATGAGAAAAATAAGTTAAAAAGGGGGATAGTGTTCGCTATCTGCTTGCTAATGCAGAATGGGAAGGAGGTATGGAGAATCAGAAAAGGGCGACGGATCCCACATTCAGTCCAAACATTCATAAAATTCGAAAAATTGTTGTAACAAAGAATGAACCAATTTTATATTATCTCGGAGATGATGACGATGAATATCCTCCAAAGCGGGGGTTTGTACATGAAGAGCTCATGCACATAGATCTAGAAAAACTTCAGCATCCGCCTCAGAGTATATTGGAAGAAAATACTCGTTCCAGGTCTGTTAATTTTATCCGTGTTGTTAATAAAATGGCTAGTGCTCAGGCTTATGCTGAAAGGCGAGGTGGACATTGCATTGAAAAAACTGGCCAAATAAATGGTTACAATGTATATCTCTGGTCATGCGAAAACGGACTCCATCAATGGGAAGCATCTTATAAGACCCAGAAGCATAAATTCGAGTGGTGCCCAGTTGTCAACATTTTATTGATGAACGCAGATGTAGATATATTTTCGAAGATCTGTTAGGTAAGAAATTTCCATCTTGTAAACCGTCATTTTTGAATGGGATGCAATTAGATGGATATAGCGAAGAATTAAAATTGGCATACGAATTCCAGGGCCTCAACATTTTTCTGAGAATCCAATGTTCCATAAGCGAGGCAAGATAGATTTAGATGAGCAAAGGAAGCACGATCAAAAAAGCAGAATATATGCAAGGAGTGAGGTATAGATCTTATTGAAATACCGTATGATACTGATTTATTACCATATATAAAAAACAAATTGCAAGAGAAAGGTTATTTACAAAATATAGATATAAATAGCGTGTCAAAATCAGATTATTCGTCGGAATAAAAAAACATAATATATATTTATAAC